AGTAAACATCAATCGTCGAAATTTGCATTTTAAAATGGTTGAATTATCAGAAGTGGTGAATAATTAATATTGTCGAATTACCGTTTGTTATTTGATAGGCCAGAGATTGGGAAATCAAATCAAGGTCGAATTATTGCAAGGTGTCGAATTATCGGTATTGTCGAATTACTGTTTGTAATTTCATAGGTTCTGGAAATCAAAACATGGTCGAATTAACGAATTTATGCTTAGAAAGTATTTTTACTTATCCTTACTTGAAATGCTGCTTCTAGGAAATCGGAATATACCCATTGCGATTTTTAAGCCACCATCTATACTTTTAAAGTCTCTGCAGGCCCTTTGGGTAAACCCTGGGCGTTGCCCGGGTCACTCGGCTAGTATAAATACATTATTTTTATTATTATATAAATACCTTGTTTATTAAATTCCTTTATAATTCATTTAGGTACACCTTCATATCTTTATCGAATGAAATTCTAAATTTATTCTTTTCATGAAGTCCATTTAATGAGAAATGGAAGCATTGAAGCACGAATGTTTCTTTTGAAATATAAAACAAAACCTTCTATATACTGTCCTTACTGCGATGAAAAAATATTGGGAGGGCTTGGCTCATCAGTGGTGAACCCTCTCAGTGGCTTCGCCAATTTAATCTACCAGACCGCTTCTTAGAGCTCTAATACTGTAGAACGACTCGTTTGACAAGTTTTAACGCAAATGTTTCTTTTGGACAAAAAAAATCGTAATTTATTTCAAGGAGAAATAACGACTATTTCTATCCTTATGGATGAAGTATGAAAGGATGAATTGTGAAGAGTAATGATGAACGGAAAAATAAAAGTGTTTCTTTTGAACGAAATATGTCCAAGGTAGCCTAGTGGACATGGCATCTGTCCGGTAAGCGGAATACTGTGGGTTCGATTCCCATCCCTTGAAACTTTTAATTTTCCGTTCATTATTATTCTTCACAATTCATCCTTTCATACTTCATCCTAGGGAGAGAAATAATCGTTATTTCTCCTTAAAATAAATTACGATTTTTTCGTTCAAAAGAAACATCCGCGGTTAAATTTGTCAAACGTATTGTTCTACAATCATAAGCCGCATTATATTGTATCTAGTACTGTATATTTCTGCTTATATATGCTACACTGAAGGGTGGAATCTTAGAAATGGTTTATTTTATATATCAAAAGAAACATTCTTCTTCAATTCTTCTATTTCTTATATATAGTTGGCTCGTTATCTCCTTCAGTCCATCAATATTTTATTTGGAAATTTAAATGTATCGCTATGTGAAAATATATCGCCTACATATTATATATATTATATATAAATCTATAGAAAATATATTGTATACAAGATGTTTACATACGAAATATTATCTATTATATTATATTTCTTATATATATATTTGTATGAAAAGATTGAGTTATATTAATATATATTTATATTAAAATATTGTATACATATATATTGTAAGGAATTATATATGTGATGTTTCACATTCATTTATTCCAAGAATCTTCCGATTTTATATAATAAGATATCTCCTAGTATCTGTAATCTAAGATGATATTTATTATATGTTAATTTTTACAAGGCAGTAGGTGTAAAGAGGGAGAAAAGAGAACTCGGAAACTATTGTTCTTACACCTCAGAATGATGACGAAACATCGAGGGGCCATCGTGTTGGTCGACGACGAGATTGCGGAGCAGGTGATATGGATGGCTGTGCTGGAGTAAACCTCCTTTTTGTGTCTGGATGCTATATTTATGGAGAACTAAATAACTTGGTCCCTATTTCTGCTCCGCGCTTATGGAATTGAAGACTAGAGGCGATGGCGTCGACCTTTCATATTAAATCTTACTTTTCCTTATTACTAATAATTGTATATAGTTGCGGAACTACTGGTTTCCTGTGCTGCTCTTTTCCTGATATTGCAACTTGTACGGAGAATCTGTATAAGACTAACGTCTTAATAAAGGCTTTGTGTGTGTGTGTAATATTTATTATATGTACCTAGAGAGGCACCTCTCCCTTTAAAAATGTATCAGAACGATACACTGTGTATTTACCTTGTAAAAGACTTTACTAGTGATGATAATAAATGAGCCACAACACCTTTTTTGTTAAATTCAGACAAAAAGCCAACCCGTCACCAATTCAACATAACAGAAACCAAATGCCACTACAAGAATATTAAGAACAAATATCAAAGATTACTTTTAGAATCTCTCATATCTAAATAATATAATATAACAGCATAAACAGGAAGATAGCATCACAAAACCTTAGATATCTTAGAAGAAATCAATAGATTTTTTTTATTGTTACAAAAAGCACGAAGTCCAAAGGACTATTGTGCTGTGCCAGTATTATTTACATATATATGATTAATTATTTACACGATGGATTAGTAGTGTTTTGTAAATTATTGTACAAATAGTTCTAAACTTAACAAAGTTCTCATAAGGTAGAGTATATACACAAAGAGAATTTGGTAATGTTTCAAAGTATATACATACAATTTTATTAGTCAGAGGGCAAGTTAAAAGAAGATCCTCTGGTGATTCAACATCTAATAGATCAGTTTTGTAGGTTCTGGATTCCCTAAAAATGTAAATAGACATATTTCATAACATTGTTAAATTACATAACAATTTTAAAATTTTAGTTGTAAATATCCACGCTGCGCGCGTTTGTATTTGTAAATATTTCTTGTAAGATATAGTCGATGTTTTTTTTTTTATTAAGCCGGTGGAAGGGCGATTATCGCTTGAAAGTTAGCGTTTTGAAATAAAAAGAAACTCATTGTGAGGAAATATTTTGTAATTTTAATATATAAAATATCTCACAAAAGACGTCAATTTCTAAAATTTTATTCAAGATTTGAAATCACTTCATAAAGAATGAGAGGAGAGAGAGAAATATATAAATTTTCAAGAATTTTTTTTCTCAAAATTTAATCCATTTATTTAAAATATTAGTTTCATTCAAAGGTGTTTTATTCAAACAATTCGACAACACTGTACGTTCTGTGATAATAAATTTAAAATTTATTTATTTTTAATAAATTATTAGAGAGAAAATTTAAGATAACAAGATTAAAAACATTCATTTGTTTGTTACGTGAAAATGATATTGTTTGGTAACATGATTGCAGTTGTTTTAAGAAGTGATTAATCAAATTGGTTGGGCGGACTTAGAAATAAACTCCAATTTTATTGTCATACTTCCTTCATTGATTTAATAATGATATGTGAATATTTCTCTCTTAGCTAATTTTATCCTTTCTTAGATATTCTTTCAGCTGAAATACAAAGTTTCCTTCATAGTGGAATGAATAGAAAATGTGACATTTATTTATCCCGTGATACAGCCATGATAATCATGTGTTGGGTAGATAGAGACTGTCTTTTAATGTAAATATACCATATGTCTATACATGCAGAAAGCAGTTCGACTTTTACAATAATAGGTGTGTCAGAGCCCATTTGGTTAGTTGTACTCATTAGTGTTATGGTTTTGTCACTGATCCAAGTAAGCTAGTTTGCAAAAATAGTCAATAGATGGCGCTTTTTCTTTAGTGCTACTTTGATTGCAGAGAAAACCTTCCTCTCTATTGATCAATATCCCCTTATAGGAAATTACCATATATATTATTGAAAAATATAATCATATTTATTCGCATACACTATCATATGCTAATTAGTTCGTTATTGGTTTAATTTGCATAGGCTGCGAATAGCCTATATGTAAAATTTCTTAATGATATGTATAGTAGTTTTCTGACAGAAGGAAAAATACCTTTAAGCTCCCCAGTTCTATATATTGGGATGTTAATCATTAATTTCTCACATTTTCTACACTCTTATTAGTAGTGATAATTAAATTATTCATTATATTATCACAATATTCTATCATTGCTATCTCGATCCGAATATGCAATTTAGTATCTATTTCTGCAAAATTCCAATATTCTGGAATTTGAACTTTCATAGCGATTCTTTCCAGATCATACGTCGTATATTCTGGTAAAATTCCATATACAAGGATAGATCTCAAATATTTTAGATTTCTTTAAGGATCGGAAAATTCAAATTTACATATTTCTAATATACATATATATTTATCTAGATATATATAATATACGAAGGTAATATTTTCTCACAAAGAGAAATGAAAAAATATATCAATATGAATCGCGATTTATTAAATAAAATGAAAAAATAAAAATAACACATATTAGTTTATTCTAGAAAATCATTACAATTCTTATTGGCGGGGAAAACGATAAAAGATGGCGGTATAAATTGCAGAAGATAAACTTTACGGGTACTCTCTTTTAGGTTTATTGCAGGAATGGAACGGAAATAGCCTTAATGCTTTCTTACTATAAAAATATATTTTTCTTTTAATATTTCAACTATCTTTATTATTAAATATCATTGTAGTTTATTATTATTAAAATATTCGTTTATAATTTTTTAAAAACGAATCTTGCTATTTAATTAGGCTATCTTTTGACTTAAAAAGGCTTGAGTATTTATTTCCTTTTAATGTTAATAACAGTAGAATATATCTTTTGGTATTTTTCAGCTACGTATTGAAATGGTCGTCTGAAAATAATTTTTTTCTTAATTATAAAATAGTACAAAAGAGTGAAATGTATTGTAAAAAGGTAATTAATATCAAAATTCGAAACTATTAAAGACGCGTATGATTCTTTTTGAAATTAAACAATTTCTACTGCCCTTACTGCAATGTAAAAATTAATGGTAGGGCCTGGCTCATCAGTGGTGAACCCTCCCAGCGGTTTCGCCAGTTTAATTTACCATACCGCTGTTATATTGCATTTTTCGTGAGCCAGGCCCTCCCATTAATTTTTCCATTGCAGTAAGGGCAGTAGAACTTGTTTAATTTCAAAAAGAATCATACGCTTCTATAATAGTTTCGAATTTTCATAACAGATGGCGCGCTAATGCATCATAATAGAATAATTGGTAGAGGAGCTTACCTATATGTATATATATGGAATAAATAAATCCTTTTTTTTTTCATTTCTGAAACTAATTTCAAATAAAATATATAATATTCAAATTAATTATAATTGCATATTATCAAAAAGTATGCAAATATATTATTATTGTTAGCATATATATTTGTTATTAATAACTTTTTTTAGTTAAATATATAGAATTAAAATATTGTTTCAGCATTTATATCTACCAAGTTTTTTAAGCACAAGTGCTTCAAGTTAAGCTTAAAAAACTGGGTCGTCTAAGTAAAGAAATAAAAGTTTGACAGAAGTGAAGTACTTTATAAAGATAAAGTTAGGTCTTGGCTTAGTCATCTTCTCTCCATAATCTTTTCTGCTAATATTGGGTTTGCTACGATATTGAGATGAAAATCTATTTATTTTAAAATCGATATATTTTAAATTTTTATATCATCTCGGAAGAGATATAATTCACATTACGAGAATATTTAATATTTATAATATCGTTTATATATATATAAAACCATTATTCGTTTTCTATTGAATGTTTCTGGTTATTGATTTATCTATATTATAACAAGAATTGTGTTTATATTTATTATCATACTTATTTTTTTATTATTAACTTTATTAAACACACATGATTCAAGCCATGATAATCATAGTGGGAAGTTAGAACATCTTTTACTGCAAGAACATCAAATGTCTACACATGTGGAATGCAGCATGTCTTTTGCAGTTTCTAGATCTCCGTTTGTTTACTTACACTCACTGGTGAAGTTGGAATTTTGCAAGAATCGGTACGTTCGAACATATACAGATAGTTTAAGTGTTAGGATACATAGGGTCGATATTTCTTTAGAATAAAAATGTAGGAGAGCGACTTTCTCACTCGAAAGCTTGCCTTTCATATGAAAAAGATATTGCCACGTAG